GGGCCAATTTGACCCAACCATTCAACTCAGAACATCCAAAAATCCCACCCTTCCAAATTTCAAATGAAAATACCCATATTTGCCTTTTTATCATAAAAGATTTCATTTTGGCCAATTTCATTGGCCCACACATACAAAACCCCACTACGCCTAGACCCATCTCAGCCCTCTAATCTCTGACCCCAAAATCCTAACCATCCATCAGAGAAACCTAGTTTAACCCCATGAACCCAGTTTTATCCAAGTTTTCAGAAATTACAAAATTATCCTAAAATAGCATGAAAATTACAAAAATGCCCTCATAGCTCATTATAAATTTAAGGGTAAATTTCTTAAACTACCCTTATGGTTTAGCTAATTGATTAAGTGTACCCTTACTGTTTAAAAATTGACTAACACTACCCTTTAACAGAAACATTAAAAAGATAATTTTACCCTTTATTCTTTTTCAAATTTTCAAAATAAAACAAGGAAAAGGGGAAAGAATAACATAGACTTTAGAGACTTGATCATGGGAGATGAAGTCGAGTCTGAGGCAGACGACGGAGATCCATTCTCCGGGGATGATGACAAAGGGGGTGAATTTGAATTCGATGTGGTTGTGGAAACCCGCAAACCGAGCTTTCCAATAGAAAAACCATCAAAACCATTGCTCTCGAATAGAAAAACCAACAAAAGCAGCTTCACAACATCTACAACGTTTACAGATCCACCGGAGGCTGCATGGTGGAGAATAGTGCTCTTATTCGGGCCACAATAATGATTTATATCAGCCTCGGACAGAGCAAGGATTAGCTTGAAGACATCAATACTACCATAAGTTACAACAACCATCAAAGGAGTTTTGTGCTCAAGGACTATCTACTTCGAGCCCTTCTGGCGAACATACCAAAGACCAATCTCATTGATAAAAGAGGCATCACTCTCCAACGAACGCTTGAAGCCTTCAACACTATTGTTAGCCATGAGCTCAAGTAAACTCTAGAAAGAATCTTTGGTTTCTACAGTCAAGTGATTCATGCTTTTCATGGGGGTTTTTCTTTCTTCAGAGGATGAAGGAGAAAGACGGCAAGAACGAGGTGGACTTTAACCACTCCAATCCACCACACATACTTTGATTACCTGAAATCCAACGATTTCCAAACTCTGAAGACACAGGCAAGCTAAGCCATGATTAAGCACTCCATTAACTTCATAGATCTCTCTTTTGTTCCAATAAAAACAGTGCTCACATTGTCACTACCATTTGAATGTGATCAACTCACTACAGGAACAGAACTCCCACTACTATGGATAATACCATCGATTGGAAGAGCGAGAGAGACCACTAAAAATGGATTTAAAATCTGTGACTTCCGAATCCTCAAATCTGAACATAAAAACTCCAAAAATGAGAGCCTTTATGGGGTTCGATTAGAAGTTAATGAAAATCCCCCTCTGCAAAACCCTTGTTTGCATTTGGAAAAATTGGATGACTCCGATTGGATTCTTCTTCAAACTTTACCAATCGCGGTCTTTTCCTCTTTGATGTTGTAGATGCTCATCAAACCAAGAGTGCCATTATTAGCCCCAGAAGGAGAGGAGTTGGGTTTTGGACGAAGCGGTCGTCATGGAAGATAACTGGGCTTGGCAGCTTCACACGGCTTACTTTCTGCAGCTAAACACTAAAAGTGTTATGAGCTTATGAATACCACCGCCTACAACAGGGTTTCTGACAGCGAGAGGAAAGAAGCTGCCGGTGGCGGTCTAACCAGAGCAGTGAACAATAGAGAAAGAGGGAGGGAGAGGACTGAATCCATCAGGAAAAAGAAGGGGAGAGAGAGAGGGGGAGGAGGTGGAGGGTAAAATTGGGTTTTAAAAAAACATATATAACGTGCGAATGAATTCTCATGGAATATTAACGGATCTTAAAGGAATGGATAGAGTTAGTCAATTGTCAAAAACAATAGAGGTAGTGTTAATCAATTTCCAAATAGTAAGGATATAATTAATCAATTAACTAAATCATAAGAGTACTTTAAGAAATTTACCCTAAATTTAATCGAAGATCGGATTTGCCTTAATCTCAAAGTTCACTGTTCACGGCTACTGTTCGAACCAAAACTAGAGGTAGCGACAATCTCCTCTTCCCCACCTCTGGTCATATTTCCCCTATATCACGCTCTTTCTTTCTCTCTCTTCTTCCTTTTCTTCTTTCTTTTTCTTTTAATTTTCAAATCCCCAAAGACACTATTGACCTTCATCTTCCCTGCGATTGAATCGAATCAAAGGCGATGAACGAGTTGTGACTTCCCCTTCCCTTATCTCTCTTTCCCTCTCTTAATTTCCCTTCTTGCACATTTTCTTTTTCTTCCTCTTCTTCCTTTCTCCTTCTCTCTTTTATTTTATTTTCCTTTTCCAATCGTCACTGCTACTCTCGGCAACAGCAATCTATTTTCTTTGCACTATTTCTCTCTTCTATATCAATTATTCTCTCTCATTTTCTGCTTGTCTCTCTCTTCCACACACACCATCTTTCTTTTCTCTATATTACTCTTTCACTCAGCACCGTTCCTGACTGCACCTAGGAATTTCTCCTACCTTTGCAACTGGTTGCAGCGCCAAGCTTAAACCCAACTAGTGACCACTTAATTCCCTTTTCTTACTCCCCCTCCATTTTCATCGCCGACCCCTCGACCTCCAACTTCTCATCATCAGAATCCGACCGTATACCCTATTTTCTTATCTCTACCATCAGCCGAACAAATCAGCAGCGGTGTTCATATGCATTGGTACCTATCTCCAAAACATGAACGTGGAAACTAGCAGCTGGATCTCTCCATTGCCATGAAGGATGTTAGGAGCGGCAAACTCCTAGTCCCCTGTTCCGTTTTCCTTACTAGTTGAATAGATTTACAGTCATGGTAGTTCAAACGTTCCCTCTCGGTTCCAAACACGATCTCCCATTCAATATAGCGTCGCTTCTCATCGATCTCCTAACTGCAACTCTGATAGCCATTTGTCATTCAAAGGAGACAACCCCATATCAAATCAGTTCTAGTATCCCGTATCATCATTAGGTTTCAGGCCAAAACCCCGAATCAGGTAAGCTCCAACTTCAGTAGTTTCTTTCTCTTTAGTTTTGTTAAACTATTTTTATTACACTCCTGCGATGCTCGGGATTTGAGGAGAGGGAAAGCGGGCAAAGCCAGTGATGAAGTTCTATTGAACTAGCTCTCTTAAGCTCTGGACTCCTACCCAGTCCTGTTACAGTTTTTCTTCCTATGTTGTGATCATATTGTGGTTTTGCTCTACATCTGCTTGTTGTATAGGGATTTGAGTTATTGTTTTCCTTTGATTCTTTCAAGTTATCCCTCTGTTTGGGATCTATTGGTTAGTTTAAGTTGTTGTTACTTTGTGTTTTTGGTTATTGGGGTGTAGGTTGAGTAATTGCTTGATTCTCGTAAGGCCGATAACTAGAGGATGAGGCATCCGTATGTAGATCAGATTACAAGGGGGGAGAGAGAGCTGATTGTTAGGAGCAAAACCTTATAAAAATAATAAACAAGAAAATGAAGAAAAATATAAAAAAATAATAATAATCAGCAACTGGAATGTCAGGTTTAATATATAAAGGTGACTAGCTAGGCAAATAGGATGCTATTTGTAGAATGGTGAGTAAGAAGAAAAAGAAAGAAGAACAAGATAATAAAATGGGATAATGATAAAAAAGAGAAAAAAAGATAAAATTGGTAGCTAAATTTTTAGCATGTAATAAGATAATAAATAGTAAAATCCAATGAATAATAAAGAAATAAATATAGAAATAAGATCCCATAAGAAAATAAGAAAAAATAAATAATTGATAAGATCCAATAAAAATAAAAAATACACCGAAGAGAAACGAGTGTTGTCAGCGATGATTCAACAGTGGTGGTGAGATCCGCGAAGGCAATCGCTCGGATGTTCCCCTAACCCAACCCGGGAACGGACCGGAGGGAACCGCAGCATGGGGAATGTCCRCGTCTCGTCGCAAGGCTCATTTTGAGTTGTGGGTCATAGGGCGGGCTTCGGGCGGGCAGTGCAGTCCGGGGCACAAGGGTCCTGGTACTATCCAGGTGCGAAGAACCCCGGAGGTGACTGTACAAGGGTCCTGGTACTATCAGAGAGAATGACGGTCAGTACTTTTCCGTAAGTTAACGTCTTTCTTAAAATGAATTTCTTTAATCAAATGTGATTTTAATGGTTGTTTTTGAAACCGGTTAAGATATGGAAAAGTGACCTTTTACATATCATAGATTTTCCCATAACATTTTGATCGTTTTTAGTCTAATTTATATATATATTATTCAATATTGATATACCTACTGAATATTATCCGATTCAAATTCCAATATAAATTAATCATGGACCCACCTATCTCCGATTCGATTCGATCCATTTGCAGTCATATCTAGGGCTAGCCCCGTAGCACGATGACTAAACTAAGGTTGGGCCCCACGAGTTTCACCCTTACCTGCCTTATCCGCCTAAGCCCTAATACTTTGGTATTTGGAACTGACGCTTGCTACGCATGGACTGGAACATGAAACGTGAATTGGTTGTGATCCCACCAAGACGCATATGCCAGCTGGCAAACTCTCAAAAGCTGAAAATCGCGCTCAGCCCTGAGTATCGTAGCAAGAAGCTTCCAAAAGATGGTGGCGTGGACCTGGTGGCGTCTGGATTGGCGCAGTTATCATTTTTCAGGCACCACGTGCTGATAAGGCAGAGAGAGAAGATAAGGAATGTCTGATCTCTGATGATATGTTTCTGTTCCTGCCATCCCACAACTAAAGTTGATTTACACATTTAACCGTCCGATTAATTGACTTGCTTACGTTGCTCGAAAAGAAAGCAAGGTAATGGGTTACTATTACTTTCCTTGGTTCACCCTCACAAATCTGTGTGAAAGGGGAAGGAAAGAGGAAGGTTACCATACTCCTCTACATTTGCACACAGCTCACACACGTAACTGATCAACGTCTATATATAAAGAGAGAAAGTGAAAAAGGAGGAGACATGATCAAGCTTTCTGCCTTTCTCCTCTCTTTTCCCCCAAATAGCTTTCTTCAATTCTTCTCGGCTTCTCTTGCCTCATCCACTGAACTCCAGAAATTGACGATGGAAGCTGGAGACAAGCAACTGCGCCAAGCAATGGAATTGAAGAAGAAGCACCATGGGTCTTTGATTCCGGCCATGACAAGAGGAGGAGGAAGAATTAAGCGACGAATCTTCGTCAATTTATTCCAGAAATTAAAGCTTGTTTTCAAGCTTTTCTCACGAGTCGTCACGCCCTTCCTCTTGTCCTCTGCAAGAGGTAAGCTCCAAATTTCCAATAATCTTATTAAGTATTTGTTTATTTGGTTTTGTGGTCGTTTCGCTTGCCGATCATCTTGAAGTTCTCAATTTTTTAGCTGCTCTCACCTTTTGATGCATCTTTTACAAGATTATGTTTTGAAATAGTGATCCAGTTGATAAGTTTTTGGGTGTCCTGCTTTTCATTCTTTGTTCTCGATCCCTCCGATGGATTCAATGTTTCTCTCTAGATTTTGGTCTCTGTTCCAGAAATCCCTTCGGAAACTGTCTATTTTTTCTTGAGGTAGAACATTTCGTCTAGCAATATTAATTCCTCTCTCTCTCTCTCTTTTTTTTTTTTTTTTTTTTTTTTTTCTGCAGCTGGTGGATGATGCGATCAATGTTTATGATGATTGATGTGAAATGCCTCGCGAGTAAAATTGGTTTCATGGAGAGAGCAACCAGTGGCGTTCATGCATATACCACCTTGGTTTCAACCATTTGTGGTTATCGGCATCTCTCATATATGATCTGATCTGCAAAGATGTGGTTACTAGCATGTTTCGTTTCGACTATATATGCTTATTGGTATCTCTCTTTTATGATCTGCAAAAGATGTAATCATCACCATGTTTTGATTCATCTGTATGCGGCTATCCGCATGTTCCTTGTATTGTTGTGCTTTTAGTGATTTGGCTTCGTCTGGATTGATGCTTTTTTTATGCTGTAATTTTCTAAAACCCTAGTACTTTTCCCTGAAACTATAACTGAAGATGGAAACTGAGATCAACCTTGTAGCTTGCTAACACATCCAAGCATCTTGGCGGTAGACCATACAAAAAAATATATATCATGAAGTACCATTAATTGGAGGACTGAGCTGACTAATTTCTCTTACAGATCCTAAATCCACTTCAAACTCCAAGGCATATCATCACTTTGCAGGGTTTTTTGTAAGTTGAAAACCAACCATCCTTACTGGGAATCATTTATAACATGCAAACAGAACCTACTCCTATAAATCCCAATGAAGATGGTTTAATGCGTTTGCAGCTCCTGGAAGTATAGGCATATTTAATTCTCACTGATACAAGCTAGTTCCTATCGCTGATACAAGCAAGTTCCTAAGCAAGAGTTTAGGTTTAATGTGTATCTTATGATGAATTATCTGTGTTATTACGACTACTTGTTTTCGCTGAAGGTCTCAACAATATAAGAAATTTAACCATATTCATATTTAACTCTCACATTGTTCTTGTTTTTGTAATGAGTTCGGTTTGTCCATATGATGTTCAACTGTGCTTTGCCTTTCTATTGTTTCTTTTAACAATCAGGTTCTTTATCCCTCAACATATGTCTTTGGATGGTCAAGCGGACTTTTAAATAAGACTACAAGACAATTAAATTAACTTTTAATTCATTTCATTTTAAATTATTCAGTGATTTTTGGAAATGTCAGCTAAGTGAATTGATGCAAACTTTATCTTACATTTAGTTGTAGGTTTGTAATTTGTAATAAGCAAGGTGATGCCTACTTTATTTTAAATTTCATTGTTGCTTGTAATAAACACCAGCACAGGACACATGGCATAAGGAACTCTGATGTCTCAACCTGGAAATATACTCCCTTGACATTTCCAAGGATACAATTCTTCATTCACCAAAGGTGATATGCAGAGACCTAACATCCAACACCTTATTCATCATTGATGAGAGATGGATGTTTTGGCACCTCATGTCTGGGAGCTGAGTCAAAAATCTAAAGGTATACATGTCTTAAACTGGTAACCTTTGGATGACTAAGAAGATGATCAAAGAGAGGCAAAAAACTAAACAAAATCAAAGAATCTAGTTTCTGGTCTGCCTTCATTTCAAGTAATTATTCCTAAACTGGTAACATTTATTGGGTTATATATGTGAATCCTTTTGCTACTCTAATTGGGTTATATGTGTATTTGTAGTTCATGTCATAATTGGATTATATTTTTCATGATCAACATTGAAACCTGTTACTTGAATGTGGGTTCACTTCTGATTAGCATTGGTATCCCACCTTTAAAATGTGTTTCCTTCACATTTTCTCAGTGCACTGATTTTGGTTTACATTCTTCTCTTTTCTTTTGTGGGCATGTTTGACTTGCATTCAATCCAGGTGTTTGAGATACAAATTTTTATCATATAAAGAGCTTCATTTTATGTGTGGTAATAATATATATTATCATAGAATGTGGTAATGTACAAGTGTTCTACTTCTTGACTTTCTTTTTGGATTGATGATGGTATGCAACTCACATCTGGATCTTTAGCTCAACTGGTAGAGACCTTGGGAAATGGAGCTTTGTCTCTAATACATCTCAAGAGGATGGTGGTTCAAATCCACCAAGATCCTTAGTTTTGCTATTTGTTTTGTTTCTCCTTGGCATTGTGTTGGGAATTGTTTTGGTCATCTTCCTCACTAAATCCCAATTAACAAATATTCATAATATTCATTTTGTGTTAATGTTAGGGCACAACTAACAATTGTCATACTATGTTACTTGCTTAGGAGGTCTAATATCTCAGTTGCCACAGGTATCTCAAAGCAAGCCGAGGATCATGACATCTCGATTTAGAGATGTATTTCTGAAGCACACAAATTTAGAGAAACCTTTCAGGGAATACCTGAAGTAAGAAGTATGAAAGCGGTCATGACTTTTTTTTTTTTTATTTTAGAAATTAAAGATGCCTTTTAGTGGTCTCACTTTGCTGCGTTTGGGTGAAACATATACAGGTCTGATTTTGTCTGTGAATCGTGTACACTTTCCACATTGATAAATTTAAAAAGATCCAATCCTTTCAACTGCCTTCTTTTCTTTCTTAGGAGCCAAATGGGGATAATACATGTTTGTTGCTTTCATCAAATAGGAAATGGTGATTGTCATTGATCCTTGAAATCCATTTTATTTTTCCTTCAGAATATTCGCAATATTAAGAGCATTAACACTTTACTTTAATATAATTAAGGCAGGTCAGAGATGGTCACAGATGTCTTTGTGCTTTGTCTGTAATTTTTCACTGCTGGGTGGTAAGAGTCATTCTATTCCATCCAACTGTCAAGAACTGCATACACGTCAGAAGGTTGTTGGATGAGGTCTAGACAGAAGATGGATTGTTTGGTATATATAGAGCTCCAGAAAAAAACGAAATACCGGAAATTGAACAAAATTTTCAGTTTCAAGGATGTGAAGAAAACTGAGCAGCATACAAAAGAAACAAATTAAAAGCAACCTTTGAGCTGTTTTTATTTCTTTTGGAGAGATTAACAAACAATGCTATATTTGTATTCAAGTGGCTGGATAGAAAATCAGTTCCAAACAAAGATTATTTAAATGCTTTAGCCCTTGGCCCTCAATATCTGCTAAAAACAGCAGAAAACGTGGCAGGAAGAAAGCTTGAAACTTAGACTACAAGCTTACAGGCCAATCTTCATTGGCAGCTAGAAAAAGAAATCCCATTGTCTTGTGCATTTACTGAGAACACGGTCTAGCCATATTATCTAGTGCAGGGTTTACTTCCCTCACAACTCAAGTAATCTTGAACTTGAATGGAAGAAAAATTCCCCCTGGTTTCAATAAGGTAGTGTTAGCAAGTCGTCATAATGACTGTTGTTCAGAAACTTAGAGCCAAACGCAGATCCTTCCGTTGAATATAAAAACATTTCTCAAATGTGTCTTGGCTTTACTATTCCAAGCCAAGCTCAACTTATGAGTATTTGCTTCCTCACCTAGAGGAACATAATACAAATACCAGACTTGAACCTCGCCTCTCATCATTTTCAATTATATATAGCATATAGGACATGGCATGCATTCTTTTCTCTTTGAAATGTATTGGTAGTTATATGATGTTGGGCACTGTCCAACACAGGTGCTTCTTCAAGGGAAGCACAACTTCTTCAGAAAATAAGGAGAAAAGGAATTAGGGTGAGTTCTCCTTGCTCTCCATCCATTACAACTAGTTGCAGTGCTTATAACAAATTCTGACAATTTAGGCTGATGCGGTCTAAAGGTCTTGTGGTAATAAACCTGAGTGGCAATGCGTTTGGGTGGTTGGTTCGAGTTAGGTTCACGTTCACCCTCATCAGTGGCTCAGTTGAGGTCCTGTCTTTTTTCTTAACTAGGAGGATGGGAGAGGAATATGGGCTAGAACTGACTTGTATCAGCTGCTTATCCAAGACCAAGAGCTCATTCACCAACCTGTTAATTTCAGCTCTCTGGAGAACCTGATAAAATGGAAGTTCTATATGGTCTCACCCTCGAGTGGGAGGGTAATTGGGATCTGGCTCATCTTCAAAATCCCTCGTATACAACATATAGGCTTGTTGGGCCTTGTATGCTCAGGCTCAAGTTTGCACGCAGGAACCTCCTAAGTAGTGGCATGTCACTTCATAATAGCCTTTCTGTAGTGATATCGGATAAGTCGGATATAGATACATTTTGGAAACATATGGATATGAACGAAAGATAAAAAAATGCTTGGATACGTTAGTAAAATGCATTCAAACCACATAATTAAATACATTAATAATACTAAACCAAAAGCTGAATTATCTATGAATAAGATATAAAGACATGAGAAATGCATACCTCAACAGGTTATATGAAGAGAAATATTACAATAAACAATACTGAGACTCTAGAACATTCAAGCATTCTACAATAATAATCATTCTTTCAATTTTATAATTATAATTTTCATTTTTTATTAATTTTTGGGAATATTTATTAATTTAGTATTTTATTTAAATAACAACTATTTTTTAAAATAATAAATATGTTTTCATTTTTAACATTTTTATTTTACACATAATTGTAAAATAAAAAAATGTCATTTAAGGTAGATAAAATAAATTACATTTAAATTTCAGTTTTTATTAAATCTTTTGGGAAAATTGAATCTTAAATTATTCATTTCAGTTTTTATAATTATAATTTTCTGTTTTCCATTAATTTTGTTGGGAAATTTTATTTATTTAGTATTTTTATATAATAACTATTTTTTCAAAGAATAACTATGTTTCATTTTTAACACATAATTATGTGTAAAATAAAATATATAAATCATCTAAGGTAGATGAAATATATTATTTTTATAATTTTTAGTATTATGAAAACTTGTATTAAAGATGAAAAACAATCCAAAAGTACTCAATGTACAATTTTGTCAAACTAGACACGGATACGCCTCCGCAACAATGTGCATCGGACCGTATCCACTGATACGGTGCGATACAACTCAATACAGAGGCATGTTGTACCGATACGCAAGACTTATAAAATATGTATTTAGTTGTATTGTATCTTATATCCATGATCATTGATACAAATACAATACACTCCGAATCAAGAGTATGTATCGATACCTTAATCCTTGGATTGTCTAACAAATTAACCATGAAAACTAAAGGCATTGACGGTGGACATTTGAAGTATAGTAATATCAAATCAGATGTCAGTATGAATTTCATGTATATACGTATAATAGAAAGAAAGATGAAAAAGGACGCAATGAAAACATGTCCATAGGCCAGATCAAGCTTCGAGCTAGGCAATCTTATTATTAGATAGGAATAATTCCATTGTATTGGCCACCTTTTGGGGAAGACTTCATACACCCCAGACTATGGTCAACTTGGAGATTACCCATGACCATTTAGGAACCATGAAATATTTTATATGGAGATATGCTAGTATTTTTTTTTATTAGTAAACAATGTTGTACGCAATTTGCCACACATACATGAGAAATTATTGGCTGAGGAATTGTGTCCGATCCCCCTCACTCACAAGACGTCGTGCGTCCTCCCACACGCAGGCGCCTCTGCCTCATGCCATTAGCTCATCCCGTTAGCTCTCATTTCGCCCAAAAAGTGAGCTCCTCTCTCTCGAATCTCAGCCTCTCACTCAAACTCTCGACATGTGCTCTTGAAACCCGCTGAGCTTATCGAGTTTGAGTTCCCTTTTTCGACACCAACGATTGTTCCAAAAGATACACCAGAGGTATGTTTCCCCTCTTTACTCTTAATTATAATCTCAGTCTTTCACTCCTCTATCTCGACCTACGCTCTCTGAAACTCAGATCGCCCCATCCGCACCTGTATCTACCGGAACAAGGAGTACGCACTTTCTGCGTTTTTTCTATTGCAAAAAAAAAAAAAAAAACAAGTTAAAAAAACTGAGAAAAACAGATCTGAGAATGTCAGAACTGAGAGTAAAGAGAGAGATGTACCTCCGGTGTATCTTCCAGAATGATCGTCGGAGTCGAAAGAGGGAACTCAAACTCGGCAAGCTCTGGGCCTCTGGCCGGTTTTAGAGAGCACGAGTCGAGAGTTCGAGGAGACTGAGATTCAAAGAGAGGAGTGAGAGATGAATTGTACTCACTTTTTGGGTGAAATGGGAGCTACTGGGACGAGTTAATGGCCATCCCATTAGCTCCACACGAGGCAGAGGCATCCGCGTGTGGGAGAACACACGATGTCTTGTGATGCCGTAGAATGTTTTTGGGGCGCAACTTTGTGGAGGGCAGATTCGAACTCTAAGTTTAGGGTATAGGGTTTAATATTTAGGATTTTTATATAAAATCAAGAGGTGGTCAGACGAATAGGAGAATATTTGCTTCATGAAAATGGCATGAGTCGGTGACTCATAAAAAAAGCACACTATTAAATTATAGAATCTTATATCAAAATGACATGGTAGAACCTATAAAACTTTTTTCAAGGATTCCATGTTAATCCCAAGATTGGATTAGCCAAACACGATAGCTATGTAACGGGGTTTGAAACCAATAATTCCACAGTAATTAAGTGCATATGACCCACAATTACTCATTCTCTCACTTCAGCATTTATGGCTGGCATGGGACGTTATCATTGGTCCCATGGCCCCACTACACAGCCATTGCACTCTACTAATTGGGTTTCAACTTTCAAATTCCAACTTAAAGTCCCTGTTGCTCAGAAGAATTGTCTTACAGAGCAACATATTAACACTAGCATGTTTCTTCTTCTTCTTCTCTCTCTCTCTTCAATGCAAGTTGTGTACTTTAGCATTCTGTACTAATATGTCCATCACCCACATGAGTTTGAAAAACTCGGGATACATTTTAAAATTTTGAAAGGAAATGAATTTTAAAAACTCAAGGTATCTTGCTGGCTGGTTTGTTATAGCAGAGATTTGGGTTCAAATTCCACTTTCACTAAATTATCAAAAAAAAATCCTTCACTAGGGTTTAGGAGAGGCTGTTCCGTCGTCTAACATATTCAAAAAAAAAAAAAAAAAAAAAAAAAAAAAAAAAAAAAAAAAAAAAAAAACAGAAACAAGACTCAATAAGGAAATTGCAAGATACAAATCGAAAATGAAACCTATACCAGAAGAGCCATCCAGAACAAGGAGGTAGACACATTTGGAGGAAATCAAATGGGGAGAGTAGGGAGGCCCCTACATCCATGAAATATTCAAGCAAAAGACTATCACATTCATACACATGGATGTATCGCATGAAGAATATCGTCTTTCTACAGAAAAATTAATAACAAATGGTGGAAGACAACGCAGGGAGTCCAAACCTCAAACAACTATTATCCTACCATAACACGGACAAACCACCAGCCAAAGTTCCCACCCGCTTTTATTCAATATCAAAGTCTCATCCTGGTGTAAAAGCCTGGTAAACCAACAAGTACCTATCAAGTAATGCCTCGGTAATCCACAAGATTGAGCAAGCACTCAAAATGATCTCTGACCGCCAGATTTAGAAGAAGAAGACTTGGCCTTTGCAAAATCAACCAGGTCCTTGAAGAGGGCATCCTCCGGTTTGACTTGTTTTGTTGAGATTGATGAATCCTGAGTATCAGTCTTTCCTTGGCTTAGAGAGAGATTCTGGGTCTGTCCTACTAATGCATCACATGACAATCCTGATCCACCACTAGCATTGGAAGGACCACCAGACAGAGCTTGCTGTTGTTCGAAGAACTGTTGTCGTTGATTATACTTGGAAGGTGGGGGTGGTAAAGTGCTAGGAGGCTGGATATCCCAAGGAGCTGAAGGAAATTGCTCAGTGGATTTCATACTTTGTACAGGTTCATCATATTTGGGCTGCCCTGTAAACACAGAAGATGAAGTCAATTCCTTTGCTTGAGTTTGAGGGGATGAGAAAGGGTATGTTGGCATCAGAGGTGAGGTAGAGTTTGTGTTGTCCGAATGAAGTGGCACTGCAGGAGGTGTTCGTTCTGGCAGCTCAGGTCTTTCAGATCTGTAGACATCACCACTGAGATAATCAACTATGCCAGCATCTGCATTGACTGGATTCTTGGATGGAGGTGGTGGAGGAAGAAGTGGGCTAACAGCTATCTGGTCATTCTTAGCATTGGCAGACTTCCTAGCTTGCCCCAGCCCATTATCTCTTGAAGATCTGCAATTGCATGATTACATATTTAGCTTGGGCTTATAATAAACAGGACCAAAAACTAATTAGAAACTCATAAATAGAGAAATGAATTAAAAGATCAAATTTTGGGAAGTCAGCAGCAAAGAAATCTACATGCCATCTCACATACAGGTCAAGAGTTTACCAGCAGAGAAAGGAACTCTGTTGCATATTTCTTTATATATTAGTACAAATCAAAAGTCGGATGCTTAGGGTGTTCCAACTTCTGTCATCCAAACCTTGGCTTCTACCAGCTGTAGCCATCCAAGCTCTTTCATCTCTTGCTCTCCATGTTATTTCTCTCTCTCTTTTTATTCTTAGATTTTTTTAGGTGTTTTTTTTGCTTCTCTTTTCTTCTTGTTCTAGTTTTTTGAGGTTTTTCTTCTTTGCTTACAAATCACAGCAAAGGGGTTTCTTCTTGCTTGATCTGATTTCTAGAATTAGGATTTTCAATGTTTATACAATCAGTAGAATTCAAACTGATTGGAATATTTGGTACTTCAAATGAATTTGTATTTTCGAATATCCAATGGATATCAAATCAAATTCAAATCACTACTCTTTAATCGGAATCAAATACGAATATTCCTTGATTTGACTTGAATTTGCTCCATTTACTTATTAGCTAAATTATGGATGGAAGGGATATACTGTACTGTGCTAACAAATCACCACTTGAGTGATTGGGCCTTTTCCTTTTGTTGCTAAGCCCTAGCCCTTTCATACATCAACTCATGTACATCCCCCTCCCCCCTTTTTTGGTTTAATGAATTTCTCAAAAAAAAAAAAGAAAAAAAAAACATAAAAGGTTTAGTTTGGGCACAACAGTCTCTTTGACTGAGACTTGCCACAAGGACAGAGGGTGATAAGGGAAACGGACAGAACCCTTTTGGGCACACAATAACAGAGCCAGTGGAATATTCCTTAGTTGTTTGTTCAACACTTTAACCAGGCAAAAAAAGGGAGGCAAATATCACCTGTGAGCTAACTGGGCAAAATCATCTTCTGATTCATCGTCTTCATGGTTCACATTTACAAGAGGTGCAACTGGATTGACCGTTTTTCCTGCTCCTTCAGTAGGTTTTCCATTTACTATGTCATCATGTCGGCAAAGCACACGCTGCAGTTCATCATTCAATGTCAATCCCTGGCGTAGAAGCTCCTCATCTCTGGATAAGCAACTAGAACTGTCACTTCAAATGATTTTAAGCAACAGAAATCATATTAAGATTCAAGGCATTTACATACGTTGTGTTGTTCACAAGAATCATGACACGCTTCTGGTAAGAACGACACTGTTCAACAAGGTCCACAATAACTTCTTGTTTTACCCCCTGCCAAAAAGATGGATAGTTATAAGGAGCCCAGACAACTAAATCAGTAGCATGCATTAATATCTTCAACCATATTTAACTATTATTGTCATTACCCATGAACCCTGCCATATATCAGGTTCCATCAAAATGGAGGTTCCACAAGTTTTACATGAATGACTTATAGGGTGTAGTTTTATTGGAGGCCACAGCCTTAAGAACTTTCCTAACTTTCAATCTCATTCCAGTGCTCTTAAATGCCCTAGCAAAAAAAGTTCACTTAATTGCAGACTAGCAAGTGAAAGACAGCATCAATTGTTTGTACCATTCTATGTTACCAGCTATGGCTCTTGCATTAGTTGGCCTTTGCCTTGGGAGATAATTGGATGAGTTTGGCATGTTAAGGAAGATGTCTGAGGGAGAAGTTTCTTAATTTCAGTCTGTTGGAAGAAGGTAAAGGAAAAGTAACTTACCAATGAACAATTGGAGGAGATAAAGGATAGTCTCCACATACAATCGGTGTATATCAAGAGCGGATTTTTATTTATTTTATTTATTTATCAGTTATCAAGAGAGGATTTTGCAATGGCTATGGATGGTTACTTAGGCCCATGCAGCAGAGGTAATGCAGGACTGAATAAGGAAATAAGTTCTAAGTAAGAATATAAAGTGAAAATTCAATTGGATTACTTGCTGCTTTGAAAATTTATGGGATTTGGTCAGAAATCCCAGAATTTTGGCTTTATCAAGAGAGAGAGAGAAAGCAAGAGACTTGAACATTTTCTTTGGGTAAATTGCTGAAACCTCCCCTGAATTTTTGGACCATTGCTGAAACTTCCCCTGAAGTTTGGTAATTGCAATCACCTCCCCTGAACTTTTTGGCATAGTTGCAAATAGATCCCCTTTCTTTGAATCCTCTAAAAAGAGGCATGAAGATGTCCAAAATACCCCCTCAGTTACTATTGAAGTTGGTTTCTACAAAATAAAATAAAATAAAATACAAACTTTGTGGACAAAAAAGTTGCAGTTTTACTTTTGAGCGATTGATACAAAGGGAAAATTTGGAAAATAAATCAATTTCGGAAAAGAGATTGGAAGGGTTTGGGATAGCGATTGATATGAAGAGAAAATTTGGAAAATAAACATTTTAGTCAAAAATAATTGTATGGTAAAATTGAAGGGGCTATAAACTTGAAAGATTTTAGACCTATAAATCTCTTGAACAGCTTTTACAAAATTTTGGCAAAAGTGCTAGCTGAAAGAATGAAAGGGGTCTTCAACAGTGTGATCTCAAGTAATCAGTGTGCCTTTGTGCCGAGTAGACAAATGCTTGACTCTGTTCTCATTGCTAATGAGCTTATTGACTTGAGAAGCAGGGAGGGGATTCCTAGCCTGGTTTGCAAGCAGGATATTGAACAAGCCTATGATCATGTAAACTGGAGGTGCCTGGACTTTGTTCTTAGAAAAATGAACTTTAGTCAAAATGGAGGAACTGGATAAAAGTTTGCATCTCTTCCCCCAAATTCTCTATTTTGATAAATGGTCAATCTGCGGGTTTCTTTGAAAGTTCCAGAGGGTTAAGACAGGGAGATCCTCTTTCCCCCCTACTTTTCATTTGCCTCATGGAAGCGCTTTCTCAGTTTACCATGAGGGCTGCTGGGGTTGGGATCTGGGAAGGCTTTGCAATCTCTCTCTGGGAGAGGAAAAAGTGAACATTCTCCAATTTGTAGATGACACTCTTTGCTTTCTAGATGCCTCTCCAGATCAGTTGGAGGTTTTACTTGGGATCCTATGCTGGTTTGAAGTGGTTTTGGGTATTAAAGTAAATCTGAACAAAAGCCTGATCATCCCAGTGGGCCTAGTTTCAAATTTGGATGAGTGTGCTCGGGTGCTGGCTTGCCAGGTGGACTTCCTTCCTATGAAGTATTTGGGGCTCCCCCTCGGGGCAAAGTGCTCCTCTTCTGCTATTTGGGATCCAGTTATTGAGAGGATGGAGAAAAAACTCTCCACTTGGAAGGCTAAATATCTCCCAATTGGGGGTAGAGTGACTCTTATAAAGAGTACACTCTCTAACCTCACTATTTATTTCCTCTCTTTTTCCGATCCTAGCTAAAATAGCTAAAAAGCTTGAGAACTTGCAAAGAAATTTCCTTTCGAAAGGCTGGAAAGAAGAAAAGAAAATTCATCTTGTCAGTTGGGATCAAGTCTGCCTTCCCATGGAAGAAGGTGGGGTTTGGGAATAAGAAAATTAAAGGTGTTTAATTCTGCCCTTCTCAGCAAATGGATCTAGAGGTTTGGATCTGAAAGAAATTTGTGGTGGAGAAATCTAATAGCTGCTAAGTATGGGGTGGATTGGGGCCACTGGAATTCTCAAGATCCCCTTCCAAACTGGGGCTGTTCTTTCTAGAAAGGAATTATGAAGAACCATCCTGTTTTCTCTGAAGGTTTGGGCTTCAAGGTGGGCAGAGGTGACAGGCTGAGATTTTGGAAGGATCCTCGGTGTATGGTAGCCCCTTGGCTGAGGCCTTCCCTCTCTCTTTCAATGTGCTGCTAACCAAGATGTCTCAGTGGCTGACTCATATATCTCCACTGGTAATTCAGTGATTTGGACACCCTCATTTCAGAAGAAATCTGTTTGACTGGGAGTTGGGTGAGGTGTTAGAGTTGCTGGAACTTTTAAAGGGGCAGGGTATTGATGTCAATCGGGAGGATGAATGGATTTGGAAGTGGAGTGGAGATGGCTGTTTCTCAGTCAAATCCCTGGCTTCTAAACTCAGCAGCTCTGGCGATACTGATTTCCCTAGCAAGCAGATTTTGAATCCAATCTCTCTTTCTAAGTCTAATTTCCTGGTTTGGACTATGGTTTTAAATAAATGCCTTTCTAGAATCAGCTTGGAAAGAAGAGGTCTGCTGCTTTCAGATTTATCTTGTGGCCTCTGTGGACTCATGCCTGAATCCATAGACCAACTTAGTATCCATTGTTCTGTTTCTTCCAAGGTGTGGGAGCACTTCTTCAATGCTGTTGGGATCTGCTGGGTCATGCCAAGTTCTGTCAAAGACATGTGCTGTTGGAAGCAAGGTTCAAAGTATCGATACGTATCAGCCCAAATCGGCCGATACGTATCATATCGGGAGCTTCCCGATACGCCCCTACAGAGGGTTTATCAGGGTTTTGACCGGTTCAGGGGGTGGATAGACCTTAAACCGGCCCCTCTGAACCGGATTTGAAAAAAAAAAACTAAAAAAAACAGCCGATACACCTCTACCGGCATATCGGGCGTATCGATATTTGGAACCTTGTTGGAAGATCCTAGGCTTGAAGAAAAAAGGAAAAGTGGCTTGGAAAACCATCCCTGCAGCTGTCTTATGGTCAATTTGGACTGAAAGAAACAATAGAATTTTCTGTAACAAATTGAAAAGTCCAGATGAATTAGTGCAGTGTGTGGGTGTCAGTAAATCCAGAGTTTAAACACCTGAATGTGTCTGAGTTGTTGAGGTCCCAGTCCCTATGGAGTCTGTAATCTGAGTTGATTCCTGGCTAATCTCCCTGTGGCTAGGAATCTGTTGTATCATTTGCTCCTCTGATTAATAAAGTTTTACCTTATCTTTCAAAAAAAAAAAATTGTATGGTATTTTGGAATTTTCGTGCCTCTTGTCATGTTAGAAGATACTAACAAAGGTGGTCTACTTGCAACTGTCAAAAAGTTCAGGAAGGTGATTGCAATTATTAAACTTCAGGGGAGGTTTCAGCCATTTACCCTTTTTTATCAACAGCAAGAGACTTGAACATTTTGAGTGCTAAAGGACATTAAGGATTGAAATTATGTATAGGAGTTGTATGGATGGTGGTTCAATTATATAGAGAAGTGGGGAAAAATCAATAGGAAAATTTAAAATTTTTTAAAGTGCACTCTTACCTCTATAACCCGATTTTATAATGGTTTCAAACATAAACTTTTATTGGAACTTAGATGGCTGTAGTGGTTGATTCTAGCTTGAAGAAGATAATAGAGAAGAATGAGAAAACCCAAAGAAGCACTCCAAGGGATGTAATGGAAAATTCTATAAAGCATTCATACAAAAGAAATCAATATTCATGCCTCTATTCATTCATCTCCTCCAAACAGAAGAGAGAACTATTTATATGTGAAAAGTATAGAGTGGAACACTGTTCACCATAATTCAGAAACACCACTGGGCCCCCAAAAAAGTATAAAACAAAAATAAAAAATGAAAACTCCATTGAACCTTATGACTGTAGAACTTGAAAACTTAACAAAACAATAACTAGATAATGACTCCTACTTAGTAGATTCCACTACAAATAAATTAAAATGACAAATACCCCTGGAGGCCAAATAAGAACATGCTGATTGGCTATTTTGCTGCCTAGAATAGGTCTTCAAGGCTTACAGTGAACCCCATCCAGAGGTCCCTAAGTAACTTACAAAAAGAAAAACTGGCAGAGATGGAAATTCAGCTGCATTGGACTAAGAGAGATGCTAATTGCTTGGAAGTTCAGCTGCATTCAAGTCGATCAACATTAGCCACAAAAAGAACCCCTTGTATCTATCAAGACCAATGGATTCAAGATTGGAAATGATGGTCAATGGTCAGAGGTTCAACTGCTTTGTCCCCTTAAGCTCATCGTGAAAGAAAGAGAGTTGCTTCAAGCCCAAGTGATTACAGCTGATAGCATGGAGAGTTGGCACCGCTGGGTTGCAATCAGTTCCAAGACGTTCAAGCTAGATTACAGTCATTTCAACAGTGACAGAATTGATGATTACAGAATGAGGAAGAGGAGCTTGTATGAGACTCTCCCTAAAAGAGACAGAGGTGAGTTGGACAGTGGATCTTTTTCAAGAAGATTCCAAGCACTTGCTCTTGGCCAAGTGAACCTCAATGACGAGCAGACAGAGGAAGGATAACTATTATCCGAGCTGCTGAAAACAGGTAGGGAATATTCATCAGACTTAGCTGTTGGGACGGCGCAAGTAAATCACACAGCATCTGCATCCCTG